TTGGGGGGGGGGGTGAAGAGACACAAACTAATACACTGAAATAGGTGTAGAAACATTTTCACTCAAATATTTTTTTACAAATAATTACAAAGAATCTGAAAGTAATTTAATTAAAATTTTGAAGTATAAAGACAAATTGTGTTTTCTTGTAAAACATACTACAATTATAATAAATAGTAAAGAAATATTTTTACAGTGTATGCTTATATTTATGTATGTTTCCTATAAACTGAAATCTAGCAACAACAGCATAGAAACATGCACTTTTTTCGTATTGTATGTGCTCTGTACAGGGAATCAGGACTTGGTTATTAAGAAAATGAAGGACAGGCACTAATTTATGCAAGTTATATGTCTTCTATAATAATACTGAAAAATGTTAGATTATATGATAAAAAAAATGTTAAATATAAGATATTTAATAAACAATATTTATGTTTTTTGTGTGTACACTGTGGATATTTATACAGCACTATGGATGAATTAGCAATGCCTGCATTTAATAGCCATTTAATCAAAAAATATTTAACATTGTACAGCATGGGATCCACATATCTGTGCAAGACCTGATGATCATGTTATCCAGCATAATTTGAAATAACTTGGAAGAGCATCTTGTGTTTCAAAGGAGCAAGAACATCTGACCTTTTGTTCAAAGAAGTTTCAAAATGAATGCTCAGGTCAACACTTCTCAGTTCTATACTTTTCTTTGTTTTCGTTTGAAAGAAAAAAGTAAAATCCTAAACCTTTCTCTGGAAATAAACTGAACTTGATTTCTTTTAAATCCACATGACTTTCAGAGAATGTTTCAACTATATCCAGTGAAAGACCATGGACCTAGATAATATCGACTGACTTTGTACTACATTTTCAAAATTTACCACTAATCCAAACAGAATTGAGCCAAAGCACATCAAATCATTGATTTCTTGCCATATTTGACCAAATTTCTTTCAAATCACATGACTTTGGAGAAGACATATTAAGTATGTATCCAATGAGAGAGCAGAGACCCTAGTTGTGCAATGACAGAACTCTGATAACCCCCATTAATCTCCATAATAACATTCACTCAGTTGCTCTTGTGCAACATTTGCATAGCAGAGTTGAGAGAACAAAATGTGCTTGAAATTATCTGCTGCTCACACAGGAATAACACACTCACCATGGAGGTGCACATGCGTCCTCTTCTCTATCTGATGCTGTGCATGTGCTGTGCTGTTCAGGGAGAGAACAGAAAGAGGCAAGTATTATATATAATATTATTATTATTATTATTATTACTTGTAGTAGTAGATACATTAGTAGTAGTGATGGCACCTAGGCTGCGCACCTTATTATTATTATTATTATTAACCAATAGCCACGTAGGTATTTAGGTATTGTTTTAGGCTACTGTTGTAGGTGATGCATGCTTCTATCTTAAATCTTAAATCTTGCTAATAGTTAATGCAATTTCATGGCAGTTTAATGTAATAAAAGTTGCAGCCAGAATAATGAATAACAATAGTTTTGAAGAGGCTTTACCACACTGTACATCAAGATGAGGATAAGCTTGGTGTTTAGCTTCCACATCCTTGTCCTCAAAAGTGGTTGTTAGTGGATTTTCAGGACATGTAGTCCTCCACCAGCCACTGCAAACTCATTGGGCCCTATCATGCACCCAGTGCAATGTGGCGCCAGGCACGACGCAAATGTTTGCTAGTTTCAGCCCGACGCAGTTATCATTTTCACATCCTGTGCCACATTGTTTAAATAGCAAATGCACCCATTTGTGCACCCATGGGCATGCTGGTCTGAAAACGAGGTGTGCTCAGGTGCATTGTTGGCACGTTGCTATTTTGAGGCAACTGAAAAAGACTGCGCCACTTGACCAACTGAAACCTGGTCATGTTTATAAATATCTTTTTAGCAAAACTGAATTGAGTTTAATGAAATTGTCTTGGTTTCTCACACACACACACACACACACACACACACACACAGATTCCTAATCACTGCACCGAGTGTTTTTCATGTTGGTGTAAAAGAACCCGTATGGATTCAGGTGGGGGAGGCATTGCTTGGCAAACCCCTGTCCTGTCAGTTAGAAACAGAGATGCGTGTTCCCATGTCTGCACGTGAGACCAAAACAATCAGCAAAAAAGGCCAGTTTGAAGCAGTGACTCTTGAGGTAAAGAAAATAAATGTCTAAATGAATAGAAACATTCTCATGTAATTTAAGACCAAGACCAGAAGTTTATTTTAGCAGGACACAGAATAAGTAGTTAGATTTGTAGATGTTTAAACGCCATTTTCAAATTATAGAATAAAAATGACAAAAAACAAATGATACAAGCATCTATACACATCCTGTCATTTTAAATAAGTTACAGTGTATGAGGCTCATTTCTGTGTATTTCCTCTTCAAGGTATTTGAAAATAAAATTTCGGACCTGAAATCGATAAATGGAGAGCCTCCCTATCTCAACCTGGCATGTGAAGTTGATGGTCAGAAATGGCAAACCCGTGTCTTGGTCTCCAAACACAGTGGCTACATCTTTATTCAGACAAACCAACCCATATACAACCCCACACAGAGAGGTACAATTAACATGTACTAATGAGCCAACAGTAAAAAATCCAAACATATAGGAATTATATACAACAATAAACATGACTGTATCACAGTGTGACATCTTCCAAATGTGTATGAAAAATAATGTAGATGACACTTAGTAACCACCCTATAATAACATAAGAATGAGAATTTTTCCCAAGACTTTAAGTTTTTCAGTTTATTTCTTGTATCATTTTGTTACAGTAAAAGTACTTAAAGGAATAGTTCACCCCAAAATGAAAATTACCCCATGATTTACTCACCATCAAGCCATCCTAGGTGTATATAACTTACTTCTTTCAGATGAATACAATCGGAGTTACATTAAAAAATGTCCTGGATCTTCCCATTTTTATAATGGCAGTGAATGGTGGTTGAGATTTTGAAGCCTAAAAAAGTGTGTCCAACCATCATATAAGTACTCCATACGGCTCCGGAGGGTTCATAAAGGCCTTCTGAAGTGAAGCGATGTGTTTGTGTATAAAAAATATCCATATTTAAAACTTTATAAATCATTATCTCTAGCCTAATACTGTATGCACATTCACGAGAGAATGGCGTTCAGTGGATGGTGGAGGTGTAGCGTATAAGCTCCGGTGAGAAGTGACGAACACGGAAGCGAGAGAGCAAAACAAAACACAAGTCACAAATTATTAAGTACAAATTACGTACAAAACAAGGATTTGTAAAGAAAAATGTCAGAGGATTTCAATATATGCCAAGAAGAGACTGGTTTTCCTTAGCTGTGAACAAAACTTGGTTCTCACAAGACTAGCATATTTTCACCAGAGCTTACGCTACACCTACGTCCTACGTCATCCTCTGGAATGCCACTCTCATGAACGCACATATGACAGTTAGCGAAAGCTAGACATTGCAGCTTATAAAGTTTTTAATATGGTTATTTTTCTTACACAAATACATCACTTTGCTTCAGAAGGCCTTTATTAACCCCTCGGAGACGTGTGGAGTACTTTTTATGATGGATGTATGCACTTTTTTGGGCTTCAAAATATCGACTCTTAGGGCCCTATCATACACCCAGTGCAATGCAAGTGTTTTTTGCAAGTTTCAGCCCGACGCAGTTGTCATTTTCACGTCCTGCGCCACATTGTTTAAATAGCAAATGCATTTGCGCCCATTTGTGCCCTCATGGGCATGCTGGTCTGAAAACGAGGTGTGTTCAGGTGCATTATTGGTGCGTTGCTATTTTGAGGCAACTGAAATAGACTGCGCCATTGACCAACTAAAACATGGTCTTACAAAATTTGAGACAGTAGTTTGAAATGTCTTTTTTATTTTCTCTCTCATTTGAAAGATACACATATGGCAAGACCATTGATGGTGGTTTCCACTGTCGGTTTGGGATAAAAAAGGACGAGTCAGAGAATAATGCTGGAGAAATCGAATTCATCAAGGGACTGGAGAAAACTGGATCTGTGAGTAGAAACCATCACTTCTTAAGTCTCCAAGATGAATAAGTACATTAACAGATTACTATACTGATTGATCACTCTTTAATATTGTGTCTTCTCCTTTTTTAGGTGAAAGAAGGCCATGCTGAGATTTCAGTTAAAATGTCAGACCTCAGTCAAAAACTGAATTCCACATTAGAGGAATTGGAAGCGACTCAGGCCCAATTCTACATTGCTGTCACAGTCACGGATATTTTAAGTAATCATATTTTAAGATTAAGTTCATTGAACTTTTAAAGGTCAAAAATGATTAGCTTGTTAAAATTGACAACATTTCATAAGTTAGTTCTTATACTAAAATGACTGTGCACCTCTTATAAGGTGGTGAGGTACAGGAATCTGAAGCTTTCCTTCCCGTTGTTTTGAGCCCGTACAATGTGGATCTGTCTCGGACAAGATCGTTCTACACACCTACATTCCCTTTTCAAGCAGTGGTAAAAAAAAACACACAACTTGACACAGTTGAATCTCTATTCTCAGTATCATGCATTATAATGATACTGTCAGTCATAGAAAATCATGCTTAAAGTCATTCATAATGGTAGCTTTTACTATATTTGTAACATATTTTGAATGATTTTGTGATATGATACCAGTGGTTTCTGTTTTTGGCTAGGTCACCATCCGTCACCCAAATGGTTCCCCAGCTGAAGGCATTCAAGTGAACTTAGATGTCTCAAGCACCAAAGAAAAGTCTGTAGATATTAAAACTAATAAAGAGGGAATCGCATTTTACATTTTCAACTTGGAAGGAACACCACCTTCAGTTTCAGTGCAGGTTAATTCATTCTAAGAATAAAGCTTTTTTTAATAACTATAAGGCCTGTTTCACACTGCTGGTACAAGCAGTACACTTATTTTCTTATATATTAAGTTACAGCATGCAATGATTGTGTGGGCAGTGTGAAATGAGCCTACTTTCAAAATGTATATGCTGTATATTTTTGACCTATTAATTTCAACAGGCAACAGTGGATGGTTTCAAGTCAACAAAAGAAGTGCACCCAATGAAATCCACAAGAAACAGCTTCCTGCATCTTAGTATAACTAGTAAAGTCCTGTTACCAGAAAATTCTCTGGATATTACATTTTTTTCCAATTGTAATCCAGAAGATGGGAAAATATATTATATGGTAAGTAATGTTTTACAATCATAAAGTAAATTTCTATTACATTTGGTAAAACTTAAATCGTATTTTTGCCTTGTTTTTTTTTTGTTGTTTTGCTTTTTTTGCATAAACCTCACAGTTCGTTTTTGTTCAATTTATATTAAAAATAACAAAGCATAATCTCTGAAAACAATAATGTCAATGTCAAAAGTTTGCATTTCTAGTACATTTATCTTGATTTAAGAACGTTTAGATATTTTTACTGGAAAAGAGTACTCATTTAGTAACTTATTACATTTTTTGTAATAATGTTTTATAACCCTGAGAACTCTTGCAAAATGTGTGTGTTTCTTCAGATTCTCAGCAGAGGCATGCTGAGATCAGCAAGCTCTGTTGCATCAAGTTCTGAAGTAAAAATAGCCATCCATATCAGCCCAGAGATGATCCCGTCCTTCAGAGTGATCGGTTTTTACTATGACACAAATGGTGACATCATTGCAGACTCAGTGTGGGTAGATGTAGAGGACAAGTGTGAGGGAAAGGTAAACAGACACTAAAAAGCATTTTTACAAAGTTGTTGTAAGTTTATAATCAAATTACACGGTACAGCTGGAAAAAAAACTTGCCAAATATGTACAGTTCTGCTGTCCCATCTCATCTCTATTTAGCTTGAGCTAAAACTGCATGGCTACCATAAATATCAGCCAGATGATACCGCTGAGCTTGACATTGATGTAGGAACACAAAAGAACGCAAAAGTTGCCTTACTAGTTGTGGACAAAGCCATTTACGCACTGGGTGCTCAAAACAAACTCACTCCAAAACAGGTGTGTTGTCTAAAGCTTAGACATTGAAATAGACATTTAAAAATACTGGATGCTGAATCTTTCTGAGCTATTGTTGAGTTCTTTTACAGTTTCTCATTTTCCTGTGTGAAGGTGTTCACCTCCATGCAGTCTTATGATCTGGGGTGTTCGTATGCTGGTGGAGAAAACACAGCTGCTGTTTTTAATGATGCTGGCCTGGCCTTCATCTCCCACTCGACCACAATCCGTTCAATGATGAGAAAAGGTGCCAAATGATGCTCTAGAACAGGGGTCTCCAAACTCAGTCCTGGAGGGCCGGAGTCCTGCAGAATTTAGCCCCAACCCTAATTTAACAGGGTCATATCATGCGATTTCAAATTGTCCTTTCTCTTTGGAGTGTTACAAGCTGTTCGTGAATAGATAAGATCCCTAAAGTTGCAAAGACTAAAGTCTCAAACACAAAGAGATATTCTTTATAAAAGTTAAAACTCGTCCACGCCCTCCTAAAACGCCTCATTTAAACACGCCCCCACATGTCTACGTCACGATGTGGGAAGATTTGTATAACACCACCCAAATGTTCACGCAAAGAAAGGCGGCGTAACTTTATTGTTGCTGCCACCGCCGCCATGTTGTGAAGACACTGTGTGTTTCGTTGCAAAAGTGAAAATACTTTGTTTGGCCTTCCAAAAGAGTACACGACTAGAAATCAGTGGTTAAGTTGTATTTACAACACTGTTCCAGAACAG